ACCAATTACGTGTGCTGGATGAAGTGGCCTTTTTAAATAGCATGGTTCTTAAATCGTCTCACTTCTGGGTGTTTTGATGGGGTAAGAAAGGGCGTAGTACTTGACCAAAGGTGCAAGTAATTTTTCTGGGAAAGTCTTTTCAGCCATATTTATAGAAATGAATAAAGAAGAAGAGCAGGAGTTGTGTGGGACTCAACTCCTGTTGATATGTTTGTTATTAAATAATTTGATTGGAGGTAGATTTAAATTAGCAAAGACGAAAGCCTCCCCCGATCCCCCCACCTCCAGCATTCAGTGTAGGGGCTCCTGGACAGATTTTATTTCATCAGGGGCTTTGGAAAATGTAGACTTGTATTTCTCTAGGTAGGTCAAGAGTTATTTATACTCTGTGCTGTGACAAGAGATTAGCCATCACTGGGTTCGACAGAGCAACCTGCTAGTAGAAAAGTCTGCTTTCTTTCATTCAGAGATCAAGAGCTGTGAAGTCTCTCATTATGCTTTCCATGTGGCCTTAGGAAAGGACATCATTTTATATAATTTGGAACAGTTGGGTTTTTTTTTAATTGTAACAAATTTTTTCCCCTTCTAATCCTGAGTAGATTGTTCAAATGCCCATTTCAAACCCTGAGATATTGTACAAGTTTATAAAAATAGGAGAAGGACATGAAATTTGGCTTACATATTGTTAGGGATAGTTCGTTTGTCTCCGTGATAGAACTCTTGCCAAGAAACAAAGGAAAGAGCTGTTTTTTTTTTTTTTAGCTTGGTTGATGTTTCAGTCTGTAGTGCAGAATAACACTTAAATTGACTACTATTATCATTGTACCTGTAGCATTTGCATTACCCAGGTTTTCTCTTACGTGAGAGAAAATTTGCTGCATTTATACAGTGCCTTCCCTTTAAATTTGCTGCATTTATACAGTGGCATCAAAGTGTGAGCATTAAATTCATGAGTGAAATTTAGCTGGGAAGGGAGGGCAGTCTTGGAAGGTGGCGCCCAGCTTCAAAATGGGTCCCTACTAATTGAAGTAGTGTTTGGAAATTCAGGATTAGGTTAAATGGATGAAAGTTGAATGTGGTCAAAGCCATGTTGAGACATTTTTGGACTGTGGGCAGTAGAAGTTAACTACCCTGGCTTTGGGCAGATGTGACCGTGAAAGTAGTGCCCAACCCAAGCTGGGCTCGAGCCCTCATGCTGCCGGTTACAGCCATGCTGTCTCAGCTCTGCTGCCTCACCTCTCCAAGGCCGCTTCTTTTCCACGACATGGGGAAAAAGACATCTACTTCGTAGAGTTGCAAGAAGATAAAATGAAAGTGTGTTTCAAAGCAGCAAAGTATAAAGGGTTGAACACAAATTTCTTTTGGTTTCCTTTACAAGAGAGAGGTTATTCAGGTTGTAGAGACCACTGTTTCCTGCCAGTATTGGAGATCAGTCCTAAAGTGCACTTTGCTGGCGGGGCGGGGCACAGGGTGGCTCACGGGTGCCTGGTCTGGGGCACAAGTCCTAGATTCATTAGTACTTTTGGGAGAGAGGAGCCCTGGATTCTGGTTAGGGCTTTATCATCATGATTAGCTTTCAGAAGAGTGTTACAAGAGAGTTAGTCGGGGAGGGTATAGCTCAGTGGTACAGTCTGTGGCTAGTATGCATGAGTCCTGGGTTCAATCTCCAATACCTCCATTAAAAAAAAAACATAAACCTAGCCTCTCCTCAAAACAAAACAACAACAACAAGTAAGCCAGTTTCTTTATGAGGATGGGTAAGAGCTCAGTGGCAGTGTGCATACTTACCTTGCACGAGGTCTGGGTTCAGTCCCCAGTACCTCTGTTTAAATAAATAAATTAGTTCATTAAATAGAAATTCTTCTGTATAGCACAGGGAACTATATTCAATATCTTGTAGGAACCTATGATGAAAAGGATTATGAAAACGAATATATGTATGCATACGTATGACTGAAATATTATTCTATACACCAGAAATTGACACAACATTATAAACAGACTATACTTCAGTTTTAAAAACGGCGAGTTAGTGACTAGAAAACAAGAAGCACTTTATAAACAAGAGAACACCTTACATACTTGATTTAGAGAGAAAGGGCAGAAGAAGAGAGAGGTACCTCCGTTCCCTTGCCTTCCCGGTCCATCATTTATTAAGCTGCCCCTGTTTTCCTGTGGGTATTTGTAGCTGGCAGGATATCAGTGAAACAAGTGGCACACTCCAGCTGGGTGTCTGAGAGAGTTTTGTTCAGGGACCATCTACAAAGGCATTGACCGAGTAGAAGTAACCAGTGAGGGCTGGTGAGTGCCGTGGCTGTGGCCGGGGCTGGCAGGGAGAGGGAGCAGCTGCAGGAACCTGGAGTGGGCAGCTGTATGGAGACGGCTGCCCAGCAGGGGCTGTGGCCTTTTGAAGGGGACACAGCACATCTGTGGTGCTCTTGCAGGGAGCGAGCTAGGGGAGTAGATGATGCCCCTTCCTCATTCTCTTGGTCTCCAGTCTCCTCCTGGTGTCTTCTATGGACTCAGTCCAAGCAGAAGACGAGGACAGAAAGGTGTGGACGTGAAATCTGTACCACTCAGCCTCTTGGGGCACCAAGCAAGACGGGAACATGGAAAGAGAGGGTCCCGGGGTGTGTCTGGGGCCACAGGAAGATACCTTACTTTGGAGTTGATTGCTGGATTCTGTTTTCCTCCCTCTGAATTGCTCTGCACTCCATTCACATGCATGGGTCCCATCGTCCGCCTCTGGAGTCTTCTTTAGTGTGATGTCCAGGGCTTAGTGCGAATCCAGAGAGGTGCCAGGTGTTGACTCTTGCCCAACACAGCTTAAGGGAAACACAGGCTAGTGTGGTTTGGGTCTCTTACTTTCTTGATTTTATTTTTGAGGGGTGAGTATATAAAGAATTCTCAGATAGCGAGGAGAAGATCTCTTGCCAGATTCTCTTGCCTTTTCTTCTCAAACCACTAACCTCACATACTAAGATTTCTTCCTGTTTTTGATGTGGAAAAAACTGGCAGAGACTCTGATTTGATGATTATGTCTATAGTTGGGCCCTCAGAACAAGCGTTTGGCTCTGGGATAAAGATAATAAACAAAGAAGCAGTCTGGATCTTTTGCTTATATACTTTGAATTGCTTCAGGAAGGTAAAGATACTGGTTTCTTTCTAAAAATTGTCAAATGATAAAGAGAAACATTCTGTAGCTTTATTTCTATTAGGGATGCTACTTTTTAGATACTTCTTCTTTTTCTCCAGTGTTCATGGATGGGATTATAAAATGTTCATTTTCAAATCTTGGATTACTCTTGTTAAAATGGGTTGGTAGCATTCACCCAGCAGTATTAACTTTATACTTCAAGGAGTTCTGGATCACTTTATTAAAAGTCATATGAAAATGATAAAGGAAGTGTTAACTTTATATTTCAAGAAATTCCAGATCACTTTATTAAAAGTCATATGAAACGGATAAAGGAACCGGCGACCGCAGGACTGCAAGGCTAGAAGTCATCTTTCATAGTGACTATGTGAGGTTTCTGTGTTTACCAAGACATCTGTAGTCATTTAAGAGTTCTTCTATGAAAACTGTAATACTTATTTGAATTTTTCATGATTGTTTATAAAGATAATGAAATCCAACCACCAGAAAAACCAAACAAAATTAGGGCAGATGTTGTATTCTTAGTTTTTAGTTCTCCTTTTCTGGCTTTTTTTTTTTTTTTAATGCCTTGGTGATAGGAAGCGACAGCAAAGATGCTGTAATCATCCTGTGTACTATTATTACTATTATTATATTCCTCCATATTTAATAAACAAAAACTTTTCATTTTTTCCCCCCATATTGTTAAGGTGAAGAAATTTGGAAATTTTTGGAATTTCAAGGAAGTCTGAAAGTGGGTGGTATTGAGAAGTGAAATTCCATACCTCCCAAACCTTTACTTACCCTTAGACAAATGAAGTTTTTAGATTCATAGTTGTAGATTCACTGGAGAAGAAATCTGTTGTCATTCAGTGAAATGACCTCATCTCTCCATCTTTCCTTCTTCCCACGGGCATTTGTAGCTTTGTTACGGATTCTCTGCAGGCTTGTGGTAACCAAAAAGGAATATTGAAGGAGGGTAAAATTAAAGCACAGAAGAAAAAAAATCCAGAAATAGTAAATTTCTCTGTCATGTTGTGGTTAAGAATGGGCAGGAGATGGGAGACTCACTCTTTCGCTCTATCTTTTCTGAATTAAGTGATTCCTGGGAATAACACAGCCGACCAAACCCCCTGGAAATGCATACAGTTGATACTTGCTGTCCAGAAAAATCCCAATTTTTATCTTACCTGGATGCTGTGCTCTTCATATGCCCCATTTTATTTTTTAAATTTATTTTTATTTTAATTTCTTTTCCTCTAGATCACCTTTTGGAAATTACTTTGACCCAGGGCCCCTAAAACTGTGCCACAGAATGCAGCACAGAGTAGGGACCACCCTATTTTAAAATAAGAAAATGTCTAGAAATCTTCAGGCATTTTTTCGGTCTTACTGCGCTCTGAGCAGCGTTGATGAAAGTGCATTGTCATTTCCAGATCCAAATCCTGGCTAAACATCCCAGCCTTTGGAAGCCTTTCAGATATTCCCCAGAGAAGAGACCTTTATCAAGTGTTTATTCTGTTCAAAAGATGCTGTTTTCATCGTGTTTCTTGTAAGATACATGGTTAGAAATCACTATCAAAATTCCATGCTGAGTGGCTTCCAAAGAGGTGACAGGTTTTTTTGTTTTTGTTTGTTTTGTTTTCTTAAAGCTTATCTGCCTCTGAAGTGGACCCTTACTGCTGTCATTTAGCTGAGTGTTCAGCATGGTGGTATCCCCCTCCTGTGGCGGGGCTCTCCTGTGAGGCTCCTGTCAGGCCCTTGAGGGTGTGACATGCAGGCCCCGTTCCCATCCCAGTTCAGTTGTCTGGGAGACAGTGAGAAGGTCTCATGGTCTGATGAGCTGCTGTGGTTTCTCTTCCAGGGACAGGCGAGAGTGGCAAGAGCACGTTTATCAAGCAGATGAGAATCATCCACGGGTCGGGCTACTCTGATGAAGACAAAAGGGGCTTCACCAAGCTGGTGTATCAGAACATCTTCACGGCCATGCAGGCTATGATCAGAGCCATGGACACGCTCAAGATCCCCTACAAGTACGAGCACAATAAGGTAGGATGGCCCCTCCTGGGAACAGCTGGCAGAGCCGTCCCAGTGCCAGCGGCCTCTCCAATGTCTGGGATGCGTAGTGGCTTTTTTAAGTGGACTTTTTCATCTCATCCTAAGTGGGACTTGGAGTGGCTCAATAAGTGGCTTATAATTTTTTTCCCCCTTAAGTCTTTAAAGTCACATCTGTAAAAAACTGGAGTTGTGTTCTTAGTGCTATCAGTGAAAGACATATTTGGATATTTAGCAATAGGTACATGTTAGTTTACAACGTTAGGGGTGCACATTACATTAAGACAGTGTGTCAGTTCAAGACAAATTGACCAAAGTGAGGGAATTCAGATTAGAAGGAGTCGCCTTGCTTCCACCTCCCACTCTTGGTGCTTCCTTGAAAAAAGAACAAAAACAGCTGAAGATCATTCTGTCCAGCTTAATTTTGTATTTCGTGACTTGCTTTCAGTAGTACCACAGGCTTGCTTTTAGTTCAAAATAGGCCCATCTGTCAGTTCCAGTAACCTTTCAAACACGTTTCCCTGCAATTGTGTTAAAGTAATGGGAACTTACAAAATCACTTGAGAAAGGGTTAGGAGAAAAAAAAAATCTAAATTCTTTAGCTTTTTAGAAAACAAGCAGAATTTCCCCATATTTAGCATTACATCTTGGTTGAAATACAAAACCAGGTTTTTCATTCAGACAAAAACATGTGCTGTAATTGCTCTCCGTCCGAATATTCTAGCTGTGTGATGCCCAGCAAGGTTGGTGCATTTAGGGGTGTCTCCAGGTTTGAGTTACATGAGTTTCTGAGGGAAGCGGAATGTATTTGGAATTTGTAGAAATGTCTTCCTGGTCTGCTTTCTTCCCTTCCCGATAATCAATCAGTATGTCCACTGATGGATACAATCTTTGTTCCTTATAACTTGTAGGTGCTGACCTTAGAGTAAGCTGGTGAAACCTCACAATTGTTGACAACACACTACATTTGCACCCACAATTATTTTAGGGCCCTCAGTCAGAACTTTCATTCTCTCTGTACTCTTGATAAGCTGCCCTGAGGATATTTTTCATATTCCAGGATCAATGGGTAATGGCAAGAAGTTGGCATGCCCAGTGTGACTCATAAACTGAAATGTAGCTCACAAAAATGAATCATAGGTAAAATAAAGCAGTTTTCTGTACCTCCACTTCTCTTCCCATTTAGAAGGTTCTAAATAGATGGATCATGTTAAAATCAGGCATTTCTTTTTTGGGGGGTGGTTCCTTGAAATTGACTGGCTGTTTCTTATCTAACTGATACCCTCACACTTAGTTTTCCAATGGCAACAGGAGAGTCTCCAGAAATAACAGAGACCCTCCAGAAACAGTCCTCCCTGCTTCTGCTTTCAAAAGTGAAAAGATCTGGGTATGTGGTACCTGAACCAGATGAGGCTGCCTGGATATCCAAGCAGTCTGGATTGTAAAGGATCAGGGTTTTCCCCCCTAAGAAATCTAAGTGTAAGGAGTTTCTGAAATAGGTGGCATGCTTGTTTTGTTGCAGTTGTTAGACAATTCTGTTAAAGGGTTATGTGTTTTTTAAGTGCCAGTGACTTTCCTACTTACAGTTGGTGGATAATATGACGATCTGATGAATTCTGGCTGTTCCCATCTGTATGATGTAACTGGTGTGTATGTCTGTGTGTGTATTTTATATATATATATGCATACATATTGCCAGTTTACACATTACACTATAATACTATCTCTTTTATTATACCAAAAAGTCATCTTTCTTCACGCTGCAGAACAATCCTTCAGGATCTTGCCTTGAGGTTAAATTTTCATAAGATCATTTATTGTATAGCCGTATAGATGTAGAAGATGATTTGGAATTTATGCCTTATTCATAGAACATGTTAAAGAATACTTAATGTGTATTATTTGAGTTCTTTGTATCAATTCTAGTTAAGTAGACTTGACTGTGTTGAATACCATTCAGTTAAAAAAATCATCATAAAATGTTATAATAATATGGATTTTTCTCAGAGATCATAATTATCCTGTGAAATCTTCCCACGTCTCTTGATTACTTAACATACTGCCTAAAATAGTGATGATAGAG